TGAATTCCGTGGCTTCATGGAAGGTCACTTTGGCATCTTAGAGATGCATTGCATCTCTAGAGACTTGGTTTCTGTTTTTGCTTTCGCATTCGGATCCATTATCGGGTCAAACTTAGATTCATCACAGGACGCACAGACTTGAAAAACCAGAGCCGTCACAAATAACTCAAGTCTTAAATATTAATTAGAGTCCATTATAATTAATATCTCTAACATTAATTCACACTAATGTCGGTGAATTATTATAAGAATAAACTAGAGATAAAGTGATAAAGTGAATATATATATACTAGAGACTGTTATACATGCTTGTTGAGAAGCAAAACTAGAACCTTGGAAAGGTAGATGAGGTGAAGTATTTAATATATGGTAAAGATGTAGTTGTATGTCCTTAGTATAATTTTAAGCTATAAGCTTTAAATAAATCAAATAGAAAAATCAATAGACTTAACTTTGAGGACATTTCAAAATAAGTCTATATGTGTGGCACTAAAGATAAAGGATATTGCTAACAATAAGCAATTTTAGGGCACAAAGTATACATTTGCTCTCAACTAAAGAAATTTCTGCAGAGCATAATATTTCTATATACAACTGTCTAGCCACATATAAAATTGAGGGTTGCACTAGAGAGTAATTGTATAAGATCATTGAGGGGAATAGGGTTAAATCTAAAAGCTAACGAGTCATTTTAATAGAAACACAACCTAGTTGACTGTAGATCCCAAGATCTAGGTTCAAAGGGACAACTGAAATTCTGAATGACTCACCAGAAGCACTGGGAAAATATAAATCATCTATCCATTTCTATGATGAGACAGTTTTGCTACCTACAGTAAAGATTAGGATAATCAACGATTTTAATGACTCTTATACCTTGAAAATTCAAGTGGGGTATAGTAGAATTCTCTTAATAAGAAGTCATCTACATGGATGTAAAGTGGGGCCGCTTCTGTGAGAACTGTAAAGGTTAAGTTTTCTGGAGCACTCATGAATACCAAGAGTTGTTCAGGACAAAATGAACACAACAATGAGAAATAACTCTATGAAGAAGGGTACTATGTGTTTAATATTGTCTTGGTTTACATCAACGGCTGAATAGTTCATGACATTATATTCACTGGTTAGCAAGTAAATCTTATAGTAATACACTAAGGAAGGGTCAAGGCCAAAAACTATATATCCTGATACAGTAGCTTTCGGTTTATAGTCTCTTTAATGTCTTCATAATCATCTTTTGCATTTTAGCAGCCAATTTCCATTTATGTGGGGAATTGTTGGAAACTAGTTTTGAAAACTAGTGTTTCTTATTAATGAAATTTGTCTACAACTTAAGTTGAAAAATACAGGCACGTTATTTGGGTATCCATGTTTATACTACAACGTGAATAAGATGAATACTTGTTCATGAACAGTTGATATACAAATAAAATAGTGGTGTACGTGTGTATGAACTGAAATGCCTTGAGAATGGTGTGTAATGGAATTTCACAATTAGTTATATTTAGGTTACAAAAATTTGCAAAACACAACACAACACACCCATTACGTGATTCTTAGTGTTGGTGGCTATTATTGGTTGTATGAGGAAAGTTGTGTCTATTCAGGTAGGAATGTGTTTCAGAGTGGTTATAAATTAACCGATGCAACTAATGAATAATTGCATCCCTATTGAAGAGACACGTCTAATATGAAAAGACACATCTACGCCTATAAATACCCCCTTGGCTGTTACAATTTATCTGTTCAATTATCTGATTTCTTTTCACCCTCCATAGACTTGAACCCAACCCAAGTGGGTTCAAGCCATAGGTCAAGTGGTCCAAACTACTTAGACCATAATCTAATTTCACCTAGCCATATTAAAATTGGGTCGAGCCATTTGGTTCGGATTGCAACCAATGATTCATTTATATAATATATAGATGCATTTTTGAGTCAAAGAGATTATTACACAAGAGGTTCTCCGTATCCACGAGTTTGAAGTGCTGTTACTGATGGAAGTAAACCATTGTATCCTAGGAGACAAACGCTACAAAGTCCATCAGTACCATACGAGGGCATAAATTGTCTTAAGGACATACTATTCAATACTAGCCTCGATCCAGGTTTTTTATTTATTATTATTATTTTATTGTATTATTATGCATATTTAATTAAATATTTTTAGCATATTATTAATTATCTCGTAGTATATTAGTATAAAATTTGTTATATCTTAAATATCGTATGAATCATATATTTTTCAACATATATATATATATATATATATATACACACATTCAATGAAATTGTGATTGGGTTTACTTGTAAGCACTTTTATTTATGTAATAAGATATAATTAGTTGATAGTACGAATTACGTAATATAATCGGTGTTGGAAAGTCTTTCTTGTGAGATTGTAAATTCTAAAGAAATTAGCAAACTTATTTAAGCTAAAAATGGGTTAATAATAATACTCTAATATAATGCCAGCAAGTTAATAATAACCTCCTCCGGTACCTACTTGAGCATTGCTTCATTCCATATTTAGGTATGTAAGACCAACAAAAGCTGAAGCATGACCTACCACATGTCCACATATTCAAGGCAGTCTCAATCAATCCCCATACACCTAGTTGAGACATTTTCAGATAGGGGTAAGTTGAGAGACTGCCAATTGGGCACGCCTGCCGGACTTTTGCCACCCATTCCATGTGGGTCAGATTACATTCAGTACTGGATTAGTTAGCAAGCTATATGATTAAAATAATTAGAGTTGAAGATGGCCCTAATGATTAAAAAACGCCATCAATAATTTTGTTATATATATATTTTTTCAAAATTAACTTTTTGACCAAAAATTTCAAACTTCGCCTTACAAACTTTTAATTAATGGTATTTGATAAAATAAAATATAGAGTTTGGATGAAAAGAAAAACAATTTTTCGTCTGCAATAAGGAAAATTTTGAACTTAGGTGGGAAGAGTATTGTAATAGATATATAAAATTAAAATGACGAATTATGATATACAATCCAACATTTCAACTGAAATGTCGACAACATTCAAACCATAAAATTCATTTAAATAGCATCTCATGATTGAAATGTTGTGCTTAACAATCATTTCCTGTGTAAGTATAAGAATGACCCTCTAGATTTATGGAAAGAGCTTATAAAATCTTTTGCATTACTTGACTATAGTCCATAGTTCACTTTGATATGCATTACCTAATAACCTAATTGGTAGTTCGCCCAACTCCTTAAACGGGTATGCCTTCGTTTGAGTCTCCCCTTCCACAATTTGACAAAAGAAAAAAAAATTCTGCCCCAAACCGATAAGACCCTGAATGAGGGTGGGGGCCACCTACTCTGTTTGTATTGATCTGGGCCAAATTCGGCCCAAACCAGCATAACACTTATTTAAATCTTGACATTCTTTAAGAAATTTATTTTGGTGGAGGTCTGCATTCTTAAATATACTGGAAATATGGAAATGAATGAACTTGAGACATCTCCGAATACTTCAAATTCTAGAATGACATTGTATATAGTGCAACTTGGGTGGGTCAATTCGAACCCAATCTAAGCCCAGCCCTCATAAATTTGGATAATTATATTTATAATTAGGGTTGGGTTTGAATTGAACTTTTTTAATCTGAACTTGATCAGGATTGGATTTGAATACAGGTGCCAATAAATTGAACCCGACTCGACCTAAATTTTACTTTAATTTAATTTTTTATTTTAAATGTACTATATATATCTTCAATTATTTCAACTGTAAAAAAGTTAAAGTTGTTCATCTTTTAGTCTTTACATCAAGTATTCCTAGTGGTAGATTATGTGCATTCCAAGCACGGAAAAGAATGAGAAAGTATTTTACAAGTTTCTTAAAGTTGGTCTGGCACAAGTCATTTATGTGATAAATTCAGTGGTAACCCAAATTCTAATCCAAAATCTCAGCTCGTGTTACAAATCTGAATTCAACCCAAACAAAAAACCAAAAAAAAAAAAAAAAAAAATTTGAATTGAGCTCGGCTTAGCGTTAGGTTAAGATTGAAAATTTCATATGCTAGATTGGTCACACTCAGATTAGAGAATGTCCATTGTCATAACTGTAAAACCGTAGGTATATTAAATTAAACAAGGCTTAGCTGAGAGCCTGTATATTCTCATGGACCAAGTCCACATGGCTAAATCACCCACACATGGGTTCTGTCTCATCCAGCTCTATTTGGGAAGGTTTTCGAAAATGTCTTAATAGGGTTTGGACAGATACGAAGCGAGAGAGTAAAAATTCGCATGAAATTTTTTTTTTTTGGGGGGGGGGGGGGGGGGTATGGGAAAGCTACCTCGACCTGTTTATGTTGCAAAATACCTTGATATACTTTGGAAATGACCATGTCCCATCTGAAATGACACAGTAAAAATGTGATTAGAAAGAGGGCTGAGGTGCATCCAATTACCGTACTAAAAGGCTATTATAACAACGGTATGACAAGAGTGTCATCCCGAGCGTGGGTCTCAAGAGGGTTGTATGGGGCGTCTCAGCATGCTTCTCTTGTGCCCCCACGACAGGTGGTGCGGTGGTACTTTTGAAAGTATATTATAATTTCTTATGTTAATCTCTAACGTTACTTTTCCATATCGAATTTTTTCTCGTCAATAATTTATGAAAATATTGACGTTAATTTTTCTTAAAAAGAATAATCTGAGTGTGACGGGATAAGAACGAGATGAGAGACAAAGAATCATATTAAACGGTTTTGAGATGGGGATAGAAATGAAAAGGAGGGACCCACAAACCCTCTCCTTGCCATTCCTACATGCATACCTAAAGAAGAGTACACTTGTAGAAGAATAATTGAATAGGGTAGGTATCTAAATGGTTAAGGTAAAAGCCTCCTACATGATAGTCAGCTGTAGAATGGAACCATACAAACTTTTTAACTTAAAAGTTACCATAAAAACATAGCTACAGCCTAGGTGAATTTTTACTTTCTGTGACTCCAAAAGCTCCTATACCTTCCCATAGTTCAGTTCTAGATGGTAGGGTGAAAAAATCATGAACCTCAAGTGACCAAGATTCTGAATCCTGTTCAAAAAGGAGCCTAATACACTAAACCTATGGATTCACACTAAGGCAGGCTTTAACAGAATTCCCAATTAAATTGTTGAGCCTAAGGCCTTGACTCTGTGTGCTAGAAAGACTAACTGGACAAGCTAATACCACCAGGTCCACCACCCTAAAGAAAAAAGGCACTCTGAGTTTTCAGGTTGGAAAATAGAGTACAATCCAGAAGATGTGGTTTAAAATGTATAGGTAAAACAAATAAAATAAAATAAAATAATCTATGGGTTCATGACTAATTTACACAAACTTTGTTTATTGACTGGTATCTACGTAATTTTCACTGCCTATTTGCAAGGGATTATTGAAAAGCCCCAGTTTGGCGTTGGGTGAATTGTCAAAATCAATAAGGGCTCACAGCTGCAGCATTCAGATCTCATTCAATTTAAAGTGAGGCCAGTAGATGGCTCTATGTACAACCCTAATAGTCCATGAAATTGAAACCACAAACTCAATCCACAACTTATAAAGACACAAATGTTACACCAAATCTCACATTAGACCATTTGCTGTGGCATGATCAACCAGGCAAGCCTTTTTTTTTTTTTTTTTTTTTTCGTTTATACTAAAGGTTTTGACCCTCTAGGCTCGACGGATCAAGCATTGTTAGCCACGTTTCTACAGAGAGCACATAGGCATACATGGTGTAATGCAGAAAATTGGAAACCAACTCCAGACATGCAATGCAAGCACAACAATGTAAAATTATACTCTTACAGTAACGGTGATCAAAAGAAAATCATCTCTTTTCTTTTCTTTTTTTTACCAATGTGGAAGTTCAATCATTGTCCAAAGCAAGAGTTACTCATATACACGTTGAATCATCAAAATGGACTTAATTTTAGATGTTTATATCAATGTCACCTCTGAGTGCGACTGGGATACAAAAGTGAGACCAAGCTGATGCACAATCATGACAATCATTCAGGTCAACTCTCTTTCCATATAATTGATGACCTTCTCTAGTTTCCTTTGTGCAGCTGGTGAAATCAAAGTAAAAGAAATGCAACAATTAGTATCTACAAGAAGGAGAATTGCCAGATGAGATATAATTTAGTTTCAAACATCTAAAATCTAGACTTGGACATGCAGAGGCCTATCCCAAGTCCCTTAACGTAAATTCATTTTGGTAATTCTACTCTATGTTGGCCATATTTTTATGTCATGACATAAGCCATTAAATACCATGGTTACAATAAATACATATGTGAGTGAAATCAACGTATACCACTGAAACCAATTAGGCTCGTAACTACATTCGGGTCTTGAATTTTCTAAAAGAACTACCCAGCATGTAAAGAATATATGTAATATGAAAAACTAAAGACATATCTTTGTAGAATTAAGAACGGTAACTAAATATAGGGGAACTTACCATGAAACTAACAAGTCATGTGGGACCTGAGATCAGCATCGCCAGGTATCTTTGGAGGTTCTGCAGCATCCATAACTTCTATTAAGAAAAGAAGATTTTTGGATTGTAATCAAGGATTTACTACACATGTAAGTTGAGTACTACCTTTTTCAGCCTTAGTACAGCAGTCAACGAGGAGTGCTATGAAGCTTCGACACAAGGTTGTCCATGTGCCTCTGAAGTCATGGGGAAGTGCTGTTCCTCGTAGTATGTATATTACATGCCTTTGTTGTTTTAAGGAAGATTGCATGAGGGGTATAATAAAAGGAACAGTTCAAGGAAGATTTACTCGCCTTGGTGTCCATTTGCAAGGTAAACGGACCACTGGCAATAAAAGGATTGGTTCACTGGATATATTCCCCTTGGCTGCAATATGAATGTGTAAGTTTTAGCAGGCTGTGACTCGATGCACTCTGCAGAGGTTATTGCTAATAGAAGGGGTAAGAGTTAGTTACTTACCAAAGTTAGCCTGTCTCTCTTCCAAACTAAGAATGGGAGAAATATAATTATTGTACCAATATCTGGATTGTTTAAGGGTCGCATTGATATTGTAGGAGTTATGAGTTTACAATTCAACCAAAAGAGCTACATATGGTAAAACAATGCCATTCTGGGTCGACACACTCGCTCATGTATGGCTGCTATACAAACTACAGCTCTAATAAGGAGGAACGATATAATAGACCGGACTGCCAACTCGATAACTAGTGATTCAAAGATCAAGTTCTGTCATTCCTCACAACCAGATCAACACACTGAGCCACATGTTGGACTGAATTTCACTATTATTACAGCCGTATTGTCGCAAAACCTAAAAGGACCTCATTCTTCCAAAAAATGGAGTTTGGTTCTTCACTGTTTGCATGTCAATTATCAATAGATTTCTCTATATATTACCATAATGGCAAATAAATTCAATGGAGTAAAAGCAACAATATCTTATATGTTTGGTTATATCCTAATGAGCAAGTGTTTTCTAATGCTTTACCTCTTTTAGAAGCTTCTGGATACTAACAGTTCTTCTGTGTATCAATATCACAGAATGACCTGGGATAAGAAAGTCATAATCCAGCATTCATTCAACTGTCCAATTATTACTAAATACTACATTCCTCAATCCAGCTAATTCCAGGTGTTTTCCTCATCCCTCCTTTCATATCATCTCTCAATTTCATCGCATCATTCCACCTTCCATCAGCAGCATATATGTTTGAAAGCATAACCTTGTACGTACTTTTTTCTGGTTTATTTTCAAAGATCCGCTGAGCTACAATTTCTGCCAACTCAGAATTTCCAAGAACATCACAGCATGATAGAAGTGCGCCCCAAATGCCAGAATCCACTGGTTCTGGCAAGGACTGGATGAGATTAAAAGCCTCTTCCAGCTCTCCATTCATCCCTAAAAGCTTTACCAAGTAAACAAAATGCTCTGCTCTAGCTTGGATGCCAAATTCATTTTTCATTCTACTGAAATATTCCCGACCATCTTTAACAAGACCAGCATGGCAGCAAGCACAAAGAAGATTTGAGAAAGTGGATTCATCTGGTTTAAGTCCTCCCTTTAGTATCTCCTCGAAAATTTCAAATGCCTCAGAAGCATGTCCATGCAAGCCAAGACCAGAAATTAATGAATTGTAAGAAATGATATTCCTTTTTGGCACACTGTCAAAAACCCGAATTCCCATTCCCAAGAAACCACACTTTGAATACATGTCAATGAGAGCAGAAGATACCATGACGTCTGACTCATATCCATGTCGAAGAACAAAACCATGTATTTCACTGCCAGGCCCTACGATCGCCAATTGAGCACTAGCCACCAGTAAACTAGCAATCAATATGGAGTCTGCCTTCTTACCTTCCATATTCATTTTCTTGAAGAGAATCAAGGCCCTTTCGGAGTCTCCAGACTGGGAAAAACCGGTTATGAGAGCAGACCACGTAACAAGATCAGGTTGCAACAAACTATCAAAAACTCTATGTGCTGAGTTCAAACACTTGAATCTTGCATACATGCTAACCAGTACAGAACATATATGAGCATTAGAATCAAAGCCACTTTTCAAACAAAATCCATGAATTCCTTGACCAATTTCCAGCAAGCCGGGATCCATCAAACCCGAAATCAACCCCACCAAAGTATAACCATCAGAATGCTTTCCCCTGCTTCGCATCATATTAAAAAGTTGTAGCCCTTTATCCCAATGCCCACAAAACCCATAACCTGAAATCATTGAATTCCATAAAACCAAATCTGGCTCCGGCATCCTATAGAACACCTTACTTGCCTCATCCACAAGACCCACTTTAGAATAAGCTGTCACGAGTGCACTACTAATAATGGAATCCAATCCCATACCAGAAACTATAACTCCTCCATGTACAATTCTCAATCCTTCTAGATCACAATTTTCCGTACACCCACGAACAACACACGCAAATGTGAAGTTATCAGGCTTTGTTTCTGAACAAAGCATCTCTTTGAAGAGATAAAATGCATCATTAAATTCATGGACGCGGGCATAAGCTCTGATTATGGAGTTCCAAAGGAAGACACTTCGGTGGGGAGTTTCATCAAACATGTTACGAGCAGAGATAAGGTCCTTATTGATGGCATAAAACCTGATGATTTTAGTCGCATAAAATGGGTCATAGGTGAGACAATTCCTGATGATCAAACCATGCAATTGTTTGGTTCTTGAAAGGGTCTGATGAATCTTCGAGAGCTCGAAGACAAGTGAACTGAATTGAATGGGCATTAAAAATTGTTTCTTGGCTTACCATTAAATTCCATGAGAGAATTGCAGGTAATTCTGAAAATGGGATTTTAACAGAGAATATAGAGATAAAAGATTGAGAAAATTAGAGGCAATAATTAGACGTCTATCGAGGCTTTCTGGTCTTTTTAAAAGATATATAGGTGCTTGACATACAAATTGTCAAAGTATGTTGGTAACAAGACCAACCACAGTTACAAAAAAGGAAGGTAATTTAGTTATGTGGAATGGTGGATGAAAATTACAATTAATATTTACTGGCCAGGACCAGGTGTGTTGAGAAATTATTGAGGCCTAAGGGAGAAATTTAATTTTCCTTTATTTTAGTCTTTTTATTGAACATTCCAATTGTCCAGTGACTGAACCCTGGTCCGAATAATTCTCCAGACAATCACTAATTGACGCATTTACTTGTTAATTAGTGATTGATCCGAGACTATATAATAATTTCTCATGTAATTTCAAACAGAAGAAGGCCACAAACTTGTAATAGTATCATAATTGATCATGGACATTATCAGGATCTAACCCAAACCTAATAATGTGCAATCTATGTCACCTACAAGACGCAATTGTAAAATAATGTGTCATTTTTAAAAGTAAAAATAAAAAATATATAAAAAGATAAAATAAAATTATAAGTTTATCTATCTTATATTAAAATTTTAGAATGAAACATGTTATCACATTAGTGATGTGAATAATGTGACAAATATTAATCTTTCTTTTTTAGGGAAATATTTAACCTTTCGAAAGCGGAGGGTGAAATTTCTATCTGAATGCACTAGTCTGGTCGAATGCATTCAACTGGAATTCACATTAGTCTCATCTTTTGTTCGGTCCTCTTGTTTTGGAGGACCTACACTCTTCATTTTATATGAATTATGTTTCGATTTGATTCAAATGGGTCTAGCCTAGTTAAACTCGGGTTAGGCAAATAACTCACTTAGATATATACATTGTTGCTAATAATTATATAAAGGGAGCAAAGTGGGTGGAAATCAACACTTGAACAAAGTAGAATGAAAATCAGTTACGCATCTGATTGCTTAAAGAATTTGGTCTTGGCTACAATCAGTCTCTCTTGTCAAAACACGAACCCTCACACTAAACAACCAAGTACGTACATAAATGCATCAAAACAAAAAAAAACCCTCCTTAAGGCATAACATAAGTTTAATTAAAACTTGAAATATAGAACTTAAAAAGACAAATCATTGGAGAGCAAATTTAAAGCTAAACCTTCAGTTACGCTGGAAGAGCAAAGCTACATAAACAAAGTGTGGAATGAACTATGATTGTGAGACACTTGGAAGTGTATTTGGTGCGGAATCATTATTTGAACATAAATGAGTCCTATTTATACTGTTAATTGAGGAAGCTCATCCACTGGATCAATATCTAAATGGACCTTTGAAATGATCCTTTGAAACTAGTCGTCTTGGATGCGTTTGGGAAGTCAAAAGCTAACTAGGTTAGGACATATTGACTGCCGTATTTAATGTTGAGTATGGAGCGCCACCTGTTAGCGTCTCTGGTTCTCTAATATGTTATTCCCCTGATACTAAACACTCAAGTTTTTTGAAACCTTAACTTTTCACTTCCATTAGTCCCTCGTGACGTTAACATGTGATCAATGGATAAAAATGACTCCTCGGCCTAAAATCCTCTAGGAACAAGAAAACAAATATCTTGTGTCTCTGGGCAAGGGGCTATGAGAGTAAGTCATCCATGGACCTTGAAGATAAGCGTTGGTCTTTGTTCTTAACCCCAACTCTTACCTCAACCTTAGCATCTACTTGTGGGCCCGAGTTTGAGACCGTGAAAACAAAATACTCATTTTGAGTGAAAACAAGTAGTCTCTAAAAATTTAGATTTTTCAAGTCGTTTTTAATTACTCCATCCCACATGAGTTTTGATCCGCCTCTTCACTACCTTTTGCGTGAATCACCTTAAACAAAATATGGATATTGCTTAGCAGTGAGGGCTGAGTAATTTCAGTAAATGAATTGGGTACAAAAATAGTGCAAAAACACCGCAAGGCAACATTTCAGCCACATTGACACTCAGAAAACATTACCCAATAACATTTATCATCAACATTTAATATATATTGCTGCCACCAAAACAATATCCAAAATCCAAAGCCAAAAAAGAAGGAAAAAAAGAACCACAAAATTTCATTAAATAAACAAATCACAAATTCACAATGTATATCATCAAACTACCAACAGAAGAACAGAATTGACACTTGCTCAAAAGTACTTTTATCATTTATGGAACTAAAGCTAATGAACACTGCATTCCAATAGAATTGGCAAGTATACAGAGCACAGACACTAGAAAACAATCATCATATTGATCCATTGAAGGGTGTCCACATATCAACATAAAACTGCAAGGATTTGGGCAATGCCTTCTTCCACGCGACGGTATCCGGAAAATCGCCCGTGAGAGCAATGGAGCTATCATTCTTCCTATTTCCAAGACTCAACACAAACACTTGCCCCGGAAAGGCCTTATGCAGTGCCTCCAAAGACTCTTCCATTACCACTTTCCCGTCTCGTCGCGAATCCTCGGCTTCAACACAGCTCCCGCCAACATTCACCATGATCCTCCCACCTCTCCTCAAGCTCTTCTTCAGCTTCACCCATGTATTCGGATCCTGGAGCTCCGGTATCAAACTGCCCTGACTGAACAAATCCACCAAAATGCCCGAAAACCCGTTCTTGACACTAGCATTCAGTGCATTGCCAATGTAAATGAAAAGCCTATCTGGGTATTGTTTCTCGAGCTTTGAGAGGCCAAAGTACTCTCTCCCAACTGCAATCACAGCCGGGTCGAGCTCCCAACCGCGGATCACACCTTGTGGGTACAGCTCCAGGATGGAACGCGCCGCGGAGCCCGCTCCGAACCCGAGGATCCCCAAGGGTCCGGGAGGCATGATTGGGGGCAATGTAGCGAACACATCGAAGTATGTGTTTGTGAGGGACTTGAAAAGGAAAGATATGCTGTGGATGTTGCCCGGACCGTCGAGCAGGAGGAGTCTCGACCCGGCAAAGGGATGGTCGGCCTTTCTGGAGACATCCAGGACCCGGATGTAGTTGTGTCTGGACTTGAATTTGACTAGGGTTTTGACGAGGTCGATGGGAATGCCATCGTCTTGGGTTGAGGTTTGGGGATTGGAGAGATGGGTTTGTTGGGATTTGAGTGTCGGAGGCTTGGAAGGGGTTGGATTTGGAGGGAATTTGAGAGATGGAGGTGGGTTTGGAGGGCTGGGTGAGAGGAATTGGCGGGGGATTTGAACCGGGGAGGAGATTAACGGTCGGATTTGGAGGGAAGTGAAAGGTTGGGCAGCCGCTGGTTTCATGACACCAGATGGATGAGGAAATGCGCGCACACACACCCAACAGCCTCGCTACTTTATGTCAACCATTCTATTTCTAGGGAATTAGTTATAAAATAGGGACAAGAAAATGACCTTTTTCTTACCAAAATGAATTCTCAAAAACATATATATTTATGTAATATTCTCAAAATTACATATATTTACGTTTGTTTCTTAAAATTGAGTAGAAAATTTTTTAAAAAATTTATAATTCAATGTTTTTTCATGAATATGCCATATAAAAATAAAAATAAAATATTGTTAAGCTTTAAGAAGTGACATAATGTCTCGTTTCAAAAAATGGAATTTAAATAATTTGTTGATCATTATTGAACATTGTTAAGTTTAGTAGCAGTTAGAACCATGCATTTGAACTGTTATCAAAAAAAAAAAAAAACGGCTATTGATACCACTTATAAAATTAGAGGTACGAGTATATTTAGGATTTCAATCAGAAGACACTAAAGATATTTCAATAAGGGAGAAATGGAAATATATATATATATATATATATATATATATATATATATATATATATATAAATTATTAATAGTTGAATTCTAAATTAGGACTTTGATTTCCTAGAAAATTTTAATAGGACTTTTAGTTCATTGCAAAATGAAAAGTATGACAAATATGTATGTTTATTTAAAATATATATATATAGAAATGAAAAGTATGACAAATATGTAAGTTTATTTAAAATATATATATATATATAGAAAAAAGACAAAATGAATTAAAAGAAAATAATTTTTTTTTTTTTTTTGGTTAAATCTAAGCTTGCATTGAAAATGAACACATGTTTCAACCAACAAACTAAGTTGAAAACAACTCCAGAACCTCTTTGGAGTGGATTATGGAAAACAAGTCGAAAACAAATCAATTCCGGATTCTCTTTGGAGCCAACCCAATGGTGGATTATGGAAAGCTCATGAGAAGAACCACAAGTTCTCCCTATTTAACTATTAAATTGAAATAAAAATTATTTAATACATTTTTCAATTCATGAGTTAAAAAATGAGACCTCACGACTCTCATGAACAGATATACTCTTGGAAGAGTTATTCGGAAAAAAATTATAAAATATCAATAACAACAATCTTTTGAGTTCAACTAGACACATTTTTTTTGGGCTTAAAAGAGTATCACCCTTAAAAATTCCTCCATTTGGTAACCGTCAATAACAATAACATCAACAAAAGTATATAAAATATACAAATCCGGACAAGGAAATCCAAAAATGTTCAAATATAAAATACAGTAGCAGTCATCTACTAGAGAGGAACCAGTAGAACAAGGGAAAAACTTTTCAATAGTCCCTAACAGAGCCTACCTATTTGCCACTTTCAAGGACTCCCTTCTATCCACTACCATATTATACCAACCGTGAGACTTCTTAACTATCAGAAAATGATAAATGTAAAGGGGGTAAAACCTATTCATTTAGGCATCAATGAAGATTAATAGTTAAATCTCCATATATCCATAGAACTGCAGAAACATGAATTCACTCGAGCAGATTCCATTGCAAGTTCGTATCACAAAAACATAAAAGATATCCACATTTTAAGCATTTCCAAAAGAGAATCCATAATGCTTTATGAAATGGCAAGTAGAACTTCGATCCTGACATGACGAGACCAGGGTTTAATCTGAATCAGAAAGTTCTCGACATACATCAGCCCACTTACCATGTTAAAGGAAGAAGAGTTTTACATTGTAATGGTTACTCTTCAACAAAGCCTACACAAGGTAATCAATACACAATGATACAAAAACTCAATTCTTAGTGACTGCCATGGTAAACATTTTGCATAGTGCAGGTAATTATCTCTCTTCGTATAATCCCTACTTCTGATTCTAACCCATGAAAAATGTCTACTAAAATAAATTTTAAAAAAGAAAAAGACTAAAAAAAGAAGGGAGCATTAGTGAGGGATCAGCCGTAAGTGCCTTTCCTAATGCCAGTCAAATGAAATGGCATTTGCCTTTATAGGAAGAATCCTTTTGCATACGATAAGAGGCATTTGATTTAGGAGTTCTGGAGTTTCATCTGTGTGAAGATGGAGGATGTGCATCTGTCATCTTCTCTTCTTTGATTTCATCTGCAACATCCCTGAGTCACAAATCACACGAAGTCAACTCAAAGGAAACCCAAAGCCTATAACCATCACTGGAACACTCAGCTGAAAGGCTTTGTCCCTTTATCCCAAAAATGAAAGTAATAACTATGAACTAAATAATAAGTTAGAAATTTCAGATTGAAATAAGATGGTATAAAATCCCTCCCTCCCTCCCCACATGCCAAGCACAAGGGAGGGGGGGTGTGGAGGAGAGAAATACAGAGGACCAGCCACAAACGGTGTCACATAAGCACAAAATACATTCAATTTCTGATGGAAGAATTCCTACAAGGATGTTCTAAGAACCCTTTAATTGAGAAAACCACTTGAGGCTTTACCTCATGCCATCATTTGCTGTGCGATGACCAGCAGTGTTCAAGCTGTGATGTCGAGGCTTCTCATCTTCTTCGCCATCAGATTCAAAATCCTCACCATTCCATATGCGCCGGGCTGGTCTTCTATCCATATTCTCTTCTGCCTATAGCCAAAAGTCCTCCAATGATCAATATAAAATCAAAAGCAAAATGGTCAAGAGAAAATCCACAAATGATCCAGCTACTCAAGCCACAAGTTACCAACCTCTTCTGGGACTTGTGTAGTGGGTGGTGTTGTCTGAAATGGCACGCTAGGTGCATGTGGTAGTCTAGAAATTTGCTCAAGCAGCATGCTCCTGCAAAATTTATATTCGACTGACATTAGTGTCAAAAATATACATAAAGCTGTACACAGTGACACCAGTTCTTAAAAAAAATAACAGCACAACCAATTCCAATATTGAACTCAATGACCAAGATATTAGATCCAAGCGAGAGGAAAGAGGGGGGAGGGGGGCTGGAGAGAGACTCCTGCCTAAGTAACTGACGGTAAGATAAAAATATGCACAAGCACTACCGCGCGTGTATTCTGGCTCCAAGTATCAACCACATTGCATAAAGTACATTAGGACAAGAAAATGGTTATAAAAAATAAAAAAAAAAAAATAAAAAAAAAAATAAAGTTATAGCAGGATAAGTCAACAGTTGAAGAAAGGAGTGTGGTTTAAAGAAGAACAAAACTTTTGATAGAATGGAGACACCAGCTTTTGTTGAAAGGAAAGTTAAGTTGCCCAGGTAAAAGCACCTGGTCGAAACAATATCCACAGAGCACAAGCTGCTTGCGTTCTTCTTATACAAGTTCAATACATATATAGGGTTCATTTGGATAAATGAATGAATTTGAAATCAAGGATTTAAGTTTAAGTAAAATATTTTGAAGTTAGATTTCAAAGTCCAAGGTGATGTTAGATTAGAGGTATGGGACAAATATTTTATTACAATCATAGCACAACTTGAACCCCACCCGGCATAAATTTCAAATAACTACTTTAACCTTGTATATTATATCCACGCTTCTAACTCTCTCAAATCCACTAATTTGAAATCCACAAATCCATCAAGCTATATTTCCTACCGCTGAAAGTTTGGACCAGCACCTGAGGCTCTAATAGACTGATACAGAGTTGCGTAAGACCCGTGATCTAGAGTGGGGTGAACAGATCTTGTAGATTGGATTGCCGAACTTAAGTACTTTTGAAATTTAAACTAACTTAACAAAAATTAAAATCGTAACAGAAATTTAAATCGACTCCATCCATCATTCATGCTTACTCCATCGATAAAGCATTAAAATAATGGACACGCAGGTTAAAATTTAAATCAAGCATTAAAATTTAAATCAACTCCATCCATCATTCATGCTTACTCCATGGATAAAGCATTAAAATAATGGACACGCAGATTTTTTAATGCGGAAAACTCAAATGTTTGAAAACCACGGGACTTAGTCCAAGCAAACCAAATCCACAATGGGAAAGAAGGATTACAACCTCAGTTATTATTTTCCAAAACCCAAGAAACCCCTAGTTACCTCCTTGACAAAAATCACTCCACCAAACTCTTGTTGACTCTCCAAGCACACGATTTTCGCTCATCAATAGACTTCTCCTCACGAATCTGCTTCTCCATCAATAATCCAGTCTCAACCGTAGCCATCCAGTTCAATCTCTGATGAAGGATTAACAGTGGTGTTGAATTCTTCAGTTGTACACTAAGTCACATAAAGCGGGAGCAGGAGCGAGAGTGAATTCGAGGGCATGAGGGCGAAAGTGGCAAAATCAAGTCACAAATAGTGGGAATAGATGCAAGAGCGTGCATGGAGCATGAGAGCGACAACCGTTGAGAAGGATTGTGTGACTTAGGTTGTACAACGAAATAATAGATGTCAACACACAACGAAGAACTCTCACCAAGTCTAAGAATGATCAATGCAAAACAAACTATGATGCAACTCGAAGAACTCACAATAATGCTTTCTATGTATTTGTGTAATGATTTCTAAGTATTTGTGTTCTATTCTGTCCTAGCATGGTATACACATGCAAAATAGAAGTATAAAGAGAATAGGGTTGGTAGTGTTTTACACCAGAAAGAAAACTAAATTTCGCAGGTCTCAATTGATCAAAGAGTTAGCCACTTGTTCGACACAACTTTAGTAACCTGCAATCAATAGATAGAACGATCGAAGTCCAATACAGTTTTAAACTTACAAATATATCAAAACAGAAAGCTCCCATAAACACTTCTATGAATATTTAAAACGATTTATGGAATCAAATCCAATTAAAACATTAAAACTTGGAAACCCTAATAATCTATGCATAAACCAAAATTTGGTAAGTCAATCAATGTGTCAACTTACGATTTTATCCTTATGGAAAGAGCTGTAGTATTTTCTTATTTCCTTGAGGCCTACCTCTAGTCGCCTCGCAGAAGATCCCAGTATCGTTTCCGCCTTCTGATCGGGGTATGGAGTGGTTGTACCAGCCAAAATGAAGACAAGAAAGCAATTATGGATGAGATTGGCGAACGAGTGGGATCCATTAGTGGAGCAAGCTATTCCCCTCAAGTACTTCATGTCAATCCTATCTCTAATCTCACGCAAAGAAAAAGTTCACCATTAAAACTGCTGCGCGCCCTTGACTTGAGAATGGAAACAAATTGCTAGTCGTAATAGATCAAATGTCCAATGCAACAAGCTCTGCGGCAAGAAAATTATTTGGAAAATTTCCTTATTGTCAAACTGTTCCAAGCAAGTTGAACGCGCTCTCGTACTAGATTGCTCATCCTATGACATTGTTGAAGAGATTCTGGTTGAAGAAACTTGACTTCCGTGATCAAGCAAACAGAACCTAATCTCCAAGAACAGTACCCGTATGTGCAAGGGGTATTGTCATGGGAGGGTTCTCGTGCTTAGGGTTTGCTGAATACTACCTCTGTACCTCAACTCTTCGAGCTGAATATTACGCAATTAAACTTGTGTGAATATTTAATTTCCTTCTTCAACAATGAGTACGAAGAAACACCTAACCTAACAGGCTAACACTAACTTCTAAAATTTCTAATCTGAGATAGAAATTAGAATAAAAGTTATAGACTCTAGTTTTGTTCTACAAAATTCGCCAACGGCCAACCTAAGTTCTGTTAACATAAGAACACCATTTGGCAATTATATTGCTACACAAAGGCACCATTACCCAACCCATAGTTGCCAAGGAACTTGGTTCGATAGGGAAACTATTACCCTGGAAACTTGTCATGAGAGCTGAGACACAACTTCCAAAGTATTTCTGGAAAACGAATCAATAGCGCTTCAAAAAAAACAATCTATAACCCCTAGAACTTCAAGAAAACCTTGTGAAAGCAATACGAGAACACTATGAAACATCCTATGCTTATGAAGTTATCCATTCAATCATGATACATAAATTTCTTAAAATATCTTGAATAATTCCAAGAAGTTTACACTTCAACCTATTTTTCCAAGTATCTAATCTTAAGATTAGTCTAGTGAAACTTTTAGTTTTCCTGTAAACTTCCAATTTGATTTGACATCATTTGACAATTCACATTCCAAAACATTTTGTGTTTCTCATTCTTCGTGTTCCATTTACCCTTTTTGCTTCCTCTTTTGGTCACTGTAGACCACTTCCAATTTCCAACCACTTTCCTACCACTCCATGTTAAATATATACATTGTCAATACACATCTTATAATTTCACATATGTCAAATGACTCAAGTGTCAGGTGCAGATATACCTAGGTGTCAATACGGACTAAGGAGTATCTTTTCATATATAAAACTTTTGAACAGAATGGGTTATGCATTATCCCTAGAGGGACCCAATGCTAATACCATACTTGCAAGAAAGCCTTAAGTAGGTGCTACCTAGCCAATTAATAAGCCTCAAAATCCATTTAAAGAAATGTATGAATAAATTTCACAATATCGCTATCACAATGGTGGTCAAACAATATTAATCATGAATCTATCAATAATATTAAAAATTAGTCAGAGAATCATCCCAATTCCCGAATGTAATTAAAATGGCATAATAGTTTAAAACAGAAAACATTTATAACAATATTTTAGATGTATAAAAGAAAGGTGTGAATGGATGTTCTGTTTATCCTTATAACACTTGGATGTTCTGTTTGTGAAAACCTACACAAACACCTCCTGAGATTTGGCGCATGATAACTACGACCGTCCCTTGTTAACTAGTCATCATGACTGTCACCCCACTTTGTGAAATGACGTATTTACCACCTTGAATTGTTCAAAAGACCTGTTTAACCTTAAAATATTATGTGAAATGACCAAATTGCCATATTAACAAATATACTTTTTCACTCCAATGTAACATGAATCCAATTGTATAAATAGATATATGTAATATAATTATAAGATACTCGTTCTACATACTAACTGAGGGATATAAACATGCATCTATCAAACAATTAATCACCTTCTTATCAGACGTTATGTAACAATATCTTCTTCAATAGCTCCAAACATTTGATTTGAGAATTCGCCTTCTTTTCTAATCTACCATTGTATCCAATGCCTTGAACCCACTTAACTATCAGAGCACCCCATCGTTGCATGATAATATAACTTTATGGATGCTTTTGGGCACTGCTAACAAAGTAAGATTCTTCATGTGTCCAAATAACAACAAATGGTCTATTGGGATCACTTGATTCACTTGCTTGCTCTAAACAAATCGTGCCACCAAGAGAAACTGTGACTAGATTGCTGGAGTGGGAGAAGGGAATGAGGAGGAGGAGGGGAGAGAGGAGTGATGGGCAGTGCAGATTGTAGGTGGGAAGCGAGAGAGGGTTTGGGCAGTGGTGGAGGTCGCAGTGGTGGGTGGAGAGAGATAGAGAGGGTTGAGCAGTGGTGGAGGTCGTTGGGTAAATAAAGCAAAGTACCCACAGCAAATGACTCAACCATTCACAGAAACAAATCACTTGGAAAACAAAACGAAACACATGAGATATACGTGGTTCGGAAAATACAGGCCTACGTCCATGGAGAGCAAGATTTCCACTCAAGATTGTAAACTGTACAAGATAAAGGATTACACAGAGATTTCACTCTACACCCTCAACCCTTCATGTACCCAATCACTCACAAGGACAATCTAATCTCTACCGTTCTCCACACCTAGTGTCCTTTTAAATACAATAAAAGTAGCCCTTCCTAACAAGAGTAATACCCCTTTCAAATACTATGAAAGTAATCCTCCTAACAATCTACCACATGAGATAATCACGGAAGATAAGAGTTTATCATCGCCTTCACGTTACGTCTGCTATAACATGGGTGGACCCCAACAGAGGTCGCGGTGGTGGGTAGGGAGAGAGGGAGAAAGAGAGAGAGAAGGGGTGGGTGGTGATGGAGTCAATTGTTAGGCAAATCTAAGTGGGTGCAAGTGTAATATACTCTAAAAATTGAGCAAAGGACAAAGATGCCATCTGGAGTTCAAAATAGAAAAAGAATTTTGTGGTAGATCATCTAATTTCAACATGCTGCTTCAAGAATTATCTTAATCTCTTGACAATGTTAATCATAGAATCGAGACAGGGTAGGCTAAATGGAGTTCATCTAATATTTTGCGCCACCAGCATATCCAGTTAAGGCTGAAAGGAATGTTGATAGCTATTAGAGCAGTTATTTTTTACGGGATAGAATGGGCATTTAGGAAACAATATATGCACAAAATGAACGGTAAAAATACGAATGTTAAGATGGTTGTGCATGAAATGGTAAGACATGAAATGATAGAATTAGAAATGGACACATTTGTGAGATGGTCGAAGTAAGAAACCCACTAAGTGTGTCAAGTAGTAAGAGTGAAATGGTCACATTAAGGGTAATACTAAGACAAGGAGAAGTCAAAAGTTAATGCGAGTAGAGTTAGTAAGGAACGGTATGATGACATGTGGTTTAAATGAGATTATGGCTGTTCTTTTTGTAAGTAAAATGTCATTGAAAGACACTCAAAATTGACTAAGATTATAGCCTTGAGTTTGGAAAACGGTCTTGTTAAGTTGAGTGGAGTTAAGTATCTAGACATCATACATATTACATACACACAAACACGCACAAAGAAAGAGAGATATATTTGCTTCCATAGAATTCCCATGCAAAAGCCTATATTCAAACATAAAGTGGTAATGCCATAGTAACAAATTAATCATCAACAAAAGAGTAATGACATATTATGTGATGCCATTTCTTCAAATCCTAAAACCACTATTACCTACCTGCTACCAGATACAATAATCAATTCACTAACAAGTTAAACGGGCATTAGATATTACATGAACATGAAGTCAATACATTCAACCAGCAAACAGACCATGTGATGCATGACACCAAATTGATGTTGGACCAAAAGTTTTTTGATACCACGTCGTCTTAAAATGGAATAGTGCTCTAATACCAAGTTTACATAGGACAAGAAAGAAAGAAGGGCATGGAAGCGAAAAGATTGAATGAGGCTAGAAGAAAAGGGGAAAGAATAGATGAAGGATATTAAAAAATATATTAAAGTTAGGCTAGGGAGACTAAGGGGTTGAGAAGAGCAAGAACAATGGAGAAAGAAGAACACGAGAGAATTCTAAAACCACAACTATTATTAATTATCAAAAGTTGAATGGTTTTATACATAAGAGACTTCACGTACGCAAAAACATAAACAAATCCAAAAATAAAAAAATACATGACTAACTCTACAATTAACATTACCAAAATAAAAATAAATATCTGACCCTGATTTACGGGATTTTTGTTCCTTCTTCTATTGTGTGTGAATCATGTGCGGATTGTGTTTTTGGATCACACACATTAAAGGAAGAGGCAGTGACTGATAGAACTAGAGATTTTTAGTAATTTAACTATTTAAGGTTACATATTGAATTTTATTTTTATTTTTAGTAATCTTTAATTTTAGATTTATTTATGTATGTTCTTACTTTAGGGTTTGCTTATGTTTTTGTTTACATGAAGGTTCTTATCTACAAAACCATTCAACTACTTTCTGCCTCTTTTTTCATGCCTTATCTCATCTTCTCATCCTTATCCACTTCTTTCCCTCTAGTCCTGCATCAATTTGGAATTTAAGCACCTTTTGGGTTACACACTTACACCAATTCATTGGTCCTACATCAAATTGGTATAAGAGCATTCCTTTTCTACATCAGTAACATCACCGTGTCATTCTTTCTAGTATTTCTTCGTTTGAGGTGATTGCAACTTGCTAGAAACTTCCTTTGAAAGGAATAATATATATCCTTAAATAATGATACAAGACAAAAAATAGACCACTAAATCATAAAAAATGCCTGATATAACCATGTAAAAGAGAGGGGGGATTGAAATTCTAACGTAGATTCAGTAACCAATTAATTATTAATTAATATACTGATTTTTATTTTATAGAATCTATAAATGTCAAGTTTATCACAACTTATGTTACTTGTACCAAATTGACAAATATGCTAGTAATAATGAATATAAAATAATTATAGGAAGTATAATCCCAAAACAACAAAATAGATCAATACAAATAAAATCTGAACAATCAACTTCATAAAAGCTTGAACTTTTACTGTCATATAGCTATTAAAAAATGATTACCGAGTACAAATTAAATAGTTAGAAATTTTGGTTATTAAGTTTAACTTCTCATGAACCCCAAGTAGATAGCCTAATGGCAAGGCTCTCACCTAACCGCATGGAGGTTGAGAGTTTGAATCCTCTTAAATAGCATAATGGCAAGGCTCTTACACGCGAACATTTTTATCATTTTCTAATACAGAAGAAAGCTTTTTGTCTTCAAGAATTTAGAGAGAATTCCCTTATTTTTTTTTTTTTTTTTTTTTTAATAATATCTTATAGATATTTATCCCAATTTGGGATTGATGATAGTGATGTTGATATAAATCTTTATCTTCTCAAAATTCTTTTTGATAAGCAAAGTATCATTAGATCCAAATTAGGCCCCTAATATCTCTATATGTCCAAAATTCTAATGGTGTAACTTGAGCCCACTCAACACTGCGCGCTCTGCCCTTGTGTCCATTTGAAGTTAGAATGAAGAAATGCAATTTATCTATGAAGCAATTCAGGAAAAGTAAAAAAATTGCATAGGCTAAAGGATAAGTAAACATGACAACCACCACAAAAACAACTAAGGTAGATCCAGCTAAGGACCCTAAAACCACTAACCTGAACCAAATCCAATTATAATAAATCAACCTATACCAACACACCAGTGCAAACTCCAATCACATTTCAATTACAAAATTATATTTTCTTAGAAAATATTAGTCTGGTTAATATATGGTTTGTGAGGTCCAATCCCCTAACCAATCCCAACTAAATTATAAGTGAGATGTATATTGGGCACCTGAAATTAAAGCATTCTTCTCCGTTCTATTCCAAGACAAGTTCTGCCAACCTCTAGCTGCTGCTAACTTATATTAATGCACAAACTAGCAGGGCAAAGAAAACGAGTATAATGTTTTCTAACTATATGGAACTAGAAAATCGATAGCAACTTTCGCGTCATTTTACCTGAAAGGGGAAAAGATAAGGTCACCTAGCAATGATTTAGGTTCAAGCATCGTTTTCAACTGAAGCAAGGTTCCAAAAGGCCTCAAAGAGATAATCGTTGTCAGTATCGCAGCCAAGCCAACTTATGTAAATCGGGAAATGTGTTACAATCGTACTACTAAATAAACAATACAAAAGTATTATCTATAATTACAAAGTTAACTTTCCAGAGCAGTAACTAGAAAATTTAGCCCATATACAGCTCCAATGGATGAACCCCACCCATCCCACAAAAGCATCTAAACAAAATGAATCCAAAGAAACACCAAGTCGAGCCAAGGCAGAATCGGCAATCAAATAAAATCTAAGACAATCATCTCAGCAAAGTCCCAACAATTTTGAGAATGCATGAATCTGAGGTTCTAATGGAATGAATAGACAATGAAACAGACATAATAATAAAAAAAAATGAGTACACAACGTAACATAAATGCATACATAGTCTTCCTTCCTCCAGTCTCTTAAAAAAAGGGAAAAGGACATTACTTCAAGTATGTAACCAACCCTATCTGTAACAAGTTTGAGTTTCTAAAATAACTCAAGATTATATTCTATTATAATTAATCTTATGTAAGAGAATATTTTTATTTTCATAAGCCAGAAAATAAATATAAAATTAATTTACGTGCTCAATCATTAGCATTTGGTTTAAGAGTCCTTCAAGGTTAATCAGCCATATAGAGAAGAAATTTGAAAATGATGCAAAATGCAAGAATGCAATAGAGATAATCAGATTTTAAGGGGTTTTTTTAGTATTACAACATTACAAATATTCAAACAAATATAATGTCAGATTCAGCACATCACCATTTCATTATTTCATACTAGTTTTCAGAATTTTCTTTTGGGGTGCTAGTGATACAACCACTAGCACTAACTGTAACTATAATTGTTAACTAGAAATGTAGTATTCAGAATCACCTTATTTTCTCCAAATCCTTGGGCGAGTTCTGATTCTCCATGGAGTTTGGTTCAACATGAAGAGTGTAATCAGGGCCAAAGTACTCATAATATTCATTGTAAGGCAACTTATTATCAGGTTCCACCCCTACTGCAACTGCTGTCTGTAGCAATGTAACAAACTGAACTTCAATAGACAACTCCAGCATAAATAAGAAATTTAATGAGATAGTCTAAGAAGCAAGGCGAAAATGAAAGAGAGAGAAAGACCTCATAGCACCAACAGCGAGCAACATTCCGTATTGTATATCCTCCCCCGCCCAAGACCATAAGAGGGACATTGAAAGATCTAAGGAAATGAAGGCAATCGGCATGGCCTTTCACAGATAAGTTGAAACACCCCAACCTGTCGCCAGTCAACGAGTCTGCTCCACATTGGAGAACAACAGCATCTGGCTGATAAACTTCCATAACTTTTTGCACGATGGGCCGAAACAGACCCCGGAAGCTATCGTCATCCATTCCGTCATTTAATGGAACATTTACAGCATAGTACTTCCCAGACCCTACACCTATGTCTTTAATGTGCCCTGTACCAGGAAAGAAGTCCCCAAATTTATGGAAAGACACAGTCATCACTCTATCAGTGGTGAAAAATGCCTCCTCAACACCATCTCCATGGTGGATGTCAATATCTACATATAATACACGCTGCCCAGTAATATCAATAGAATTAGAGAACGATATAGAAATGAATTGTATCTATGTATTTAGGATAACCAATAACCACAGTCCTTGCACCCATGAACATATAACAAATTTTGAAAAGCCAATAGATGAATATTGGGTTCTAAACAGGAGAACGGGCGCACCGATGTGTGAGTGCATAATGCATGGATGAAATAGATCAAAGTAAATGTGGGCCAATTAGGATGAATTATTATACCAGTATATTTTAAATAGAACAATTTTTGAAAAGACAATTAGGATGACTGACATGGATGAATGATTATACCAGTATTTTTGCAGTTAGAAATAGATCAAAATAAACCAAATAACCATATAACTAAAACCCTTGTTTAGATACATCTCAACTCAACAAAGTGTTTTTTCCCAACTACTTGGGGTTGGCTACATGAATCCTATTTTTTTTTCCCCGCTTTATGACCATAAACTCATTCCTTCCTTACTCACTCTAACCACATTTACATTGGTCTTCCCTTTCTCCAAACATTACCCTTAATGTGGACCACATCAATCATCCTAATTGTTGCACTTAGTGGTCTCCTTTACACGTGCCCAAAAAGTTTTATTCGATTTTATCTCATTTTATCTCGAATTGGTGCTACTTCAACCAACTCACAAGTGTGTTCATTTCCAATTTTATCCTTTCTAGTCTTATTACACATCCATCTAGGCATTTGCGTTTCCGCTACACTCACTTTATCCACAAATTGTTTAACTATTCAAAATTCTCTCATAAGAACAACAACTGGTCTAATAACTGTTTTATAAAACTTCCCTTACAATTTTACCCGGATACTCCGATCATACAAAATACTAGATGCACTCCTCTGTTTAACTCATATTGCCTTAATTCTATGATTAAAGCCATTCTAGAGGCACACTGCCTTTGTCATGTTTAATGGCTTATTTTTATACAACTGGTGCCAAGCTCGGAAATAAGAGGATTGCATTAGGTAGTTCGACAACCAATGCAAAACTTTTGCAATCACCAATACAAACATGAAACCCTTGTACATCTAAAGCCAAAATATTAGCAGGCTTAAGATTTAAGAAAAAGAAAAGGCAAAATGGATGACAATCTGAGGAGAGAAATGCAAAAATTGCATTGACAGGGTAAAACAACCAAGGATGCAATACAAAAATGACACCACTAAATTTTATATTACCACTGTTTCTTTCATTAAATAAATTCTTTAGCAAAAGATAGTGCCACAGTTAACCAACTAATCAGTTGTCTAATTTCTATTCCAAGTCATGTTCCCATTCAACCTTAAGATTCCATTTGAATGTCAATAACTTGTCAGAAAAAGGAAATACAAATACAAGTTTAAAATCACTAAAAAAAGAGATGAAGAGAAGAAAGAAACCAAGGAAAAGAATAGAATTCAAAAAAGTTTAAACAGAAATTATCCAAGTATTAAAACCATAAAACAATTCAGACTATCACAAATAAAGAAAAGAATGAAACTATTGTTTCATAAATTAAAAACCATCTTTTCATAGTCATTTAAAATTGATAAGTATGGGAAGAATTTTTTTGGCCCAAGGCCGACCATTAGATTGTACTAGAAAGGCAGATCAAATTTATGATAATAAAAGCTTATCTAGAAATGCAAGTTGAGCAGAATCTACACCACCAAACAATTACATAAACCCACCAACACCAGTAATATAAAAGCAATATCAGATTCTTAAGCTAAAAATTAGAAGACAGAGAAGTCTCAAAAACAAAACATATGAGAGATTAAAATGAAATTAATTGCAGAAATGGCTATCTATTGACTATTAAAAGGGCTAGTCCAATGCACATTGCGAGCTCTCGAGATGATCAGATGTACGCAACCTTACCTCCACACGGAGAGAGAGGCTGTTTCTGGTTTCAAACCCTCACACTGGAGGGACGGTCTTACCGTTGAGCCAAGGCCCACCCTCTCTATCTATTGACTATAATATTACACAAAACCCCCTCAGTGGAAACCAATAAAAACCACTAGCGCAAAAGTCAAACTCAAACATCAAATGTAGCAAAAACCCAATTACACACAAACAAACAGCACATAAAAGGAAAGCTAATAGCACAAAATTATCAAGCACACCATAACACACAAAAACATAGCTCATATGAAAGCTAAACTTTAAAATAAACAAATTAAATAACAGAGTGATTAGTATGGATAGAGAGAGAGAGAGAGAGAGAGAGAGTACATTACCCTGTGAACCTTAAGGAGCTCAAGAATTCCCAGAACAATATCATTGACATAACAAAACCCAGATGCCTCAGACTTCTTAGCGTGATGCAACCCACCAGCCCAATTAAGCGCTATATCGGCATCCTGCCGATTAAGCTTGACGGCTGCGCCGATTGATCCGCCGGCGGAAGCCTGGCAGAAGGTGAAGAGGCCGTCGAAAACGGGGCAGTCCTCGCCGACATTGAAGCGCTTGAGGTTGCGAGCGTGGGTGTGGTCGTGGAGGGTTTCGGGCGTGACGGAGGCGAGGAAGTCGACATAGTCGTCGGAGTGAAAGAGGCGGATATCATCGGGGCCGGCGGGGAAGGGACGGTTGATCTCCATCCGACGGTGGAGGGAGTAGTGGACGATGAGGTTGTGGGCCATGCGGATTCGGTGGGGCTTCATGGGATGGCCCTGGCCGTAGTAGTAGTCTCCGATTGAGGGTTCGTAGAAGTAGGTGACGCGACGCTTCTTGGCGTCGGGGCCGGAGGGGAGAGAGGCGCTGCCGGTGGACGACTCACCCATGATTGATGACTGCTGTGATGGACAGACAGTCGGCCTTCCCGTTTCTCTCTCTCTCTCTCTCTCTAAAAAGCACAGAGAGAGTGATACAGACGAGAACTGAAAATGAAACTACGAGCGGGGTTTTATGCTTTTATGTTGGAGTTGATGCGCATGTTAAGATGTAGCTTTGCTGAGGCTAACATACGCTGACATTCAAGCGGTACACGGTACATGTTACAAGGGACAGTACACCAATAGATTTTTTCTTCGTTTTTTTTCCCCCCTATTTTTTTCTTCTATGTCGTCAATTAGGGTTGCAAATCAACGTTTGTGGGCTTCAATTGAAATTGTGACGTGGTCAAAAGGTTGATCTCCAGTTTGACTCGTTTAATAATAAATAATTAAGCTCTAGTTCGACTCATTTAATAAAAAAATTTATTTGGACTCGATTTGAGCTTTTAAATTCATAATCTAACGTGTATCAACCTATACAATACATTGTTTATGAACATTTTGATGGGCTTATAAGAGTCTTTTTTTTCACAAACATATATAAATTTACAGGAGTTTATGTTCACGAACTTAGATGACTTGAACTCGGCCCTCTTAACAAACGGGCCTAAAAAGAGGCTTAACAAACGAGACCAAATCGAACCCAAGTTTTTCATAAACTGCTGGATTCATTTGCTACCCTAATGTGAATATGGGATAAATGGTTAAATCTCATAAATTGTGTAACAAATCAACTCAAATTAGGTTTCTAATTTGGATAACTATGAAGAAATTTTAAAGGAAATGGGATAAACAGATATGAAAATAAACTAAAAACGAGTAAGAAAAATGATTGTTTTTTGTGCCGTTTGATATAATGGAAAATTTTAAAAACTCAAATTCTAAGTGTTAATCATAAATTGAAATATATTTTATTTCAATGATAAGTGAAATCTTATTCACTTTAAAAATTACTCCATTTTAAGCATGTAATGCGTTATCATGCGCATTTAATTGGAGAAATATTTAATTTTATTCATAATTAAGTACTAAATTGATTATAAAGTATTACGTTAAATAAAAAAAGTGTGGTGCAAAAATATATATATATATATAAAGTGTGACGAAATTAATAATCACTAAGGTGTTATTTGATAAAACTGAAATTTAAGTAACAAAAATTTTAAAAGCTGAATTTTAAGTTGCAATTTAAAAATAAAATTTGATATCTTTTTTAATTTTTAGTGTTCAACATTAAGTTATAAATAATATAATGTTACTTACAATTATACATATTTTAAATCACACTTATTTAAGTGATATTCAAATTGTATTATCAAATGTACTTAATTAGATATGCACTTAATTGTTTAAAATCAAGCGAACCGTCAAATAACACATGACTCTCTTTCATGAATCGTAACTCTTTGTTTTATACTATTTGTAGGATGAATAGTATCCTCTTTATAATTTTGTATGAGGGAAAAGTATGAACCACTTGTCATTAAAAATGCTATGCTTGTCCCTAACACTTTTGCTTCACGTTTTCTACCATCAATTCCTGGTATAATTTTACTTTTCAACTTTAAGAAAGTAATTCCTCCTTAAAAATAAATTAAAAAAAAAAAAAAAAAAAAAAAAGAAGAAGAAGAAGAAGAAGAAAGAAAAAAGAAAAAAAGAAAAAAACAGAAGGTGAAGATTTGTTACTTTTTAGACCGGAAATAATTTTTGTCAATGTAGTCATCTTCTCTGCTCGCCTCATTTTACTATTTGTTACACCCTAAGAAATTACAATCATTATTTTACTTTCATAGGAGACATGCCTGTCGAATACACTCCAACAATCAAATTATCACTTAACAGAACTTTATATTTAATTTTTGTTCGTATCTTTTGAATTATCCTACCCCTCTTCTTTAGGAGAATAATTGTAGTGTTTTGCTATGAGACTGCTTATGTTTCCTTCTCTATCTCCGTTGTAGTTTACCTTATTGTTTAATTCCCTTATCATTTGTTAATTTTTCCTTATCGGTTTAATAGTCAGTTTCCAATTGTGAAAAAAAAAAAAAAAAAAAGAACCGAGTTTTTAGACTTTATTATATAGATATGTATAGTCAGTTATGCTATAAAAAATGATAAAATGTTTTGAATCATTTAATGTCAAATACTATAGCAAAAATAACAATCAAGTTTTTTTTTGACAAGTAGTTGTCAGCTACGGTTACCTCAATCATCATATGTGTTTCACTCCATTTATTTAAGGCCATACCTGGCTTGAAATGGATGGAGTTTGATATAATCCGATTGGAAGTCCATTTTTGTGATTTTATTCTAATTTTGAATTTCAATTTTAAAATGAATGGAATATGAAAATTCCTTAAATAGTCCACCATAGATGAGAAAGTGTACTGTGGGCGGTTTTTCTTATTATTATTATTTTTACAATGATAAGAAACCCACATATGTTACTTGTCCCAATCTAATAATTGAACCCTGGCTTTCTACTTTATAAGTTGAACAATTATCGCTAAATTACAACCCATTGATAATGTATTGTGAGATAAATCAAAACTCCTAATGGACATGTGTAACAAATGGAGTCTTGCTCACGTCGAATTTGAATGGAGAAGTGATTAAGTATATATGGGTTGGGTATTAGTCCTTTTTAATAGCAAGATCTTTTGGGTCAGATCGTGAAGCACTCGACCTGTTATAGTTGATATCAAAGTCAAATTCAATCCTTAATCCTACTGTAACGAGGGCGTTGTGAATTCCCATCAGTTAAAATATTAAAAAACTGTGAGACTCGAGACAATGGGCTTGGCCCAAGCAGATACAATGGGCCAAGGTACATATGATGTTGAGCTTGTTACCTTTACAACTTCCATTCTATGCATCTTCAATAAGCTGGCTAGAATTTATTGTCAAGGCAACTCCATTGAGCATTGTATTATCTTGCTTACACAAAATGTTAAAAAAAAAAAAAAAAAAAATACATGTTTAAGACTTTCCTTGGTGGCATGAAATTGTGTTTTAGACTCTCTCATATACCCTCTTTATCTTCCTTGGGTCATGCTAACAAAGTAACAAAGAAACAGTCTAGTTTGGCCTTGACCCAACAACAGAATTGGATCTAGGCATAGAACATACACCAAACAGCCCGAAACAGGCCCAGTATCTTATCACAGGAAAACTAGAAACAGGCCCAATTTGTTCATACCGGCCCAATCAAACTCCTCTTTAGTTGATGGACAACGTATGAATGTTATTGAGACACTTGAATGTAAACAATGGCTTTAAAGCCATAGGACTAGCAAATCAGTGATCTCGAAGCCCGTCATGGTTTATATTATGAATTAAATGTATGCGATTGTTTATGTATCAGTTTGGGTTTATGTATCGATGGTTTAATTGGTTTATAAGTGGTTCGAAAATTAAATGTATCATATTGTTTTATGTGAGTGAGTGATGACATTGTCATAACGTCATTAAATATAATGATGTCATCATTGCATCATTCTTTACTCACGTTATTTTAGTCGGATGTTTCTGTCTTTGAGACTCTATCATTAGTTCATAACTCTAAATATTATTGTAAAGAAAATGATCTGTTGAAGTCAGGAATGAAACTTACACTGTCACTCACAGCGAAGTAGTCGGACTGTCGGACCGGCTCTTCCTTTAACTATCCATTATTGGTTCGCAAGCCCCAGATCAAAAAAGCTGCTCACCCAGAGACCTTCTTGTTCATCTTTGGGTAATAATGGTGGAACATAAACCAGCTAGGTTCAATCCCAGAAGCCTAGACAAAAAGTCCATAACATGGCTGGTTTGCAGTTTAAATTGTACAACTACCCTACCCAACTACAACATAATGTTACCACACCACAAGTTGGTTTTTCTCTCACTTTAAAAAGATAGGGTAGAAGAGTAGTTGACAATTTTTTTTTTTTTTTTAAAAGAAATTTAACTAAAATTGGAAAACATAATCCCTTTTACTAGCTGGTAGTTTCCAAAAGAAAGTGCAGGAAAACAACTTTTTGAGAAAATTATCTAGCATTTGGTATCAAGTCATTCCTTTACACTTTGTACATCACTGAAAAGGAAATGGAATCAGTATCTTTTGTTTTTGTGAACTTTTGTGGATCCCACATCTTGCCTCTTCTTCAATTATTTGTTTGATGGGCTTCACATCAACTTATCTACATACCACACCATGGAGTATCTAATACTCGCACTGTGCTATAATAGTCGGGCGCTTCAGAAATTTTGTGACTCATAATTCTCAAAACATTCAACTATTATATAATTTTCTAAATCACCCAATTATTATGGAATAAAGGGAATATATTACTTTATTGTGACTCGATCAAAATTACACAGGAATAGAGCGCTTAAGACTTATCTATTGTTTTATTCATATTGTTTAAATTAATGTTTTCTTTATTCATTTGATAAAAGTACGTATTTTTTAAAAAATTTAGGTGTTCGGGGAATTTTTTATTTTTTATTTATAATAATAAGGTTTTAATACTTTTTATTGTATTAATGAGAATGAATTTTTAAATTTATCCTTATTAAAATATAAAGGAGTACTCCGTAAATAATGTGTTTGTTTAATCAAATCAATGTTAAAAGGACAACTCGAATTTACATATAAAAAATTATAAAAACTATTAGATGGTCCAATCCAAGACCAATAGACCTTTGTCACGAGAAATACAATCCAATAAAAATTCTCCCATTAAGCACAGAGGTCTCACAATTATATAATAAGATATTATCCAAAAAAAAAAAAAAAACTAAAACTTGAGCATGATTTTTGATATGATTGTCAATCTGCAGTCGTCTCAATCGAGAAAACTCTTATGATTGATTTTCAACCTATCACAATAAATATTGTATTTTTTTAAAATTTATTTCACAAGTATTGTGATTGGCAACCAATCACAAAAACAAGTATGGATTCACAGGTCAGGACTGTAACTATCATTTCCCGTCTTGAATACATAAATGGACTTTATGCTAACATAAACAGATCGTGAATGAGTATGGTTGTATGGTATCATATACAACAATACAGAAGCAGTAGAATCTTGATGGTATCATATACAACAATACAGCTATATCTGTGTGTGTGTGTG